CCCGAAATGGTGTATCAGATTTTAAGGGGATAGGACATATGGATGCAGTCCTTGTGTCGCTGCATGGTTCCCAGCCTTCGCTTAAAGGCGTCCACAGACGGTGCAATAGCTACATCTGCCGGTAAGGAGTTCCAGGGACGGCAAACCCTCAATGAAAACAGTGGGAGCGCCCCCGGGTCCCTGCGCTCTGGTGAGCTATCCTTCTGAGATTTCCACGAGGAAGCCTATAACTACTCGATGGCAGAACACCTTTGTTTGGATGATTCTGGTCATTTGTTATTTTGTAGGCAGTAATTAAATCCCCCCTAAGCCAACGGAAGCTAAGTGTGAATAGGCCTTATTTCTTTAGCCTTTCATCGTATCGTTTATTTCGGTGACCAACCACTCCTTTTGTCGTCCGTCGTTGGACTCTTTCTAAGAGGTTGGCGTCTCTTCTAAGTAGTGAGGGTGAAATAATATTATGTATTTCAAGGTGTGGTCTGACGTATGTTTCCTACAACCTGAGAAAGAGCTCAGGAGTGCACCTGACTGTCTATGTGTAAAGTGTATGACAGCACATGCCCTCACTACATCCCCCGCGTAATTTACGCTTGTGTTCATTTTCTCCGTTAGAACTAGACCTAAGTCGCGCTCTGACGTTGTACAGGACAAACTTTCATTGCATAGGGTGTAACTTGCATTCCGCAGTCTGCAGGTGCGTAACTTCACTACTTTGCATTTTTTTCAGGTTGAAAGTCATGCCACTGGCCACCGCCCAATCTTCCAAAAGCTTTCGATCTGCCTGCAGCCTATGTGAGTCCTCCGGACACTTTATCGCCCTCCATATCTTTACGTCATCAGCGTATAGAAGAGTCGGGCAGCTTAGACGGCATGGTAGATCATTGATAAAAACCAAAAACATCAGTGGTCCTAGGATAGAACCCTGCGACACTCCTGGTGACGAGCTGTGCCAAGATGATCGTACTCGATTGACCTTAGTGCAAAATTGCCTTTCATTTCCCAGCATGATGTCCAATCATCGCGAGCTGACAGTAGGTTTGTTACACAGGGTTTACCTTTCCTGAAACCGTATTGGGCTTCATGGAGTGTATTAGACCGATCGAGTAAATCCCTGATGTGATCGTCAATAATACTTTTGATACCACTGGGAGTAGAGCTACTGGTCTATAACTAGTGGGATTTTGCCTATCCCCACCCTTGAAGATCGGAGAAAGGATGGCTCTCTTCCACTCCCTTGGCAGTTTGCGCAAGTCCATCGAGTGTTGGAACAAGTCGCATAAGGGCCTACGAAGAGCTTTGAGGCACTGATTCAGAATATATGGCCTGATGTCGTCATACACTGGTGACTCCCCAGGTGTGAGTCTCTGTAGCTTCCTTAGTACTATTGCCAGATTTATTTGGGAAGTAGCCACTAGGTCTTCCTCCTTTGAAATAGTAGCGTCTCCATTTCGGTTCATAACGGTAATACCCACATAGCTGTTTAACTGTTTGGCGAAGGCTAAACTGAGTGTTTCAGCCATCTCCAGAATAGTGAGATATTGACCGTTTCGGCCTACTAATGCTCATGCCCCCTGGTCGGTTGGTTTTCTTTCCGGCATGAATCGATACAAGTTTTTGGGGTTTGCTAAGAGTTTTTGGCAAGGTTAGCCTGGAATGACTTCCTTTTCACTCCTGATTCTCGCGTTGCACCGGTTCCTGATTTCCAGGTCTGACTCTTGGATACGCGCCACGTAAACCAAGCCTTCCGCTTTGTTTGCAGAATACGTCGCGTGCCTCTCTTCAGCCATGATGACTTTCTTTTGGGCTGTGTTGTGACTAAAGGGACGGTATCCAAGGCTGCTGTATGAATAATTTCTTTTGACACTTCCCAGTGTTCATCCACAGATGGCTCATCCCATGCTAAGGGCCAATCTGCATCGGACAAAAGCCTCCGCATTTCAGCGCAGTCCGCTTTGCTATAGCACAGACATGGTGCGTAACGTCCCACTGCAAGTGCTCCAGAAAAGCAAGGTCGAAACACATCACTGCATGATCACTACTTCCTCGAGGAGTCATGATCTGGACATTTTCGACGAGTAGTGTGTTAGAATGGGTCAGAGGGTTTTCTAGTTTCGATGACTTTTCACTAGGGCCTCACCTAGTGTCGTCTCCAACATTCTCAGTAAGCCCTGTATTGCGAATGGTTTTCAGTAGATTTTGGCCGAGTTTTCTCTTAGCATACCCATAGCCAAGGTTCCGTGATAGGGCATTGTAATCTTTAGCTATGGTGACTAGTTCATAGCTCAAGTCCGGTATCCATGTGATGGTGCTAAGCAGTAGCTGGTTGTGCTCTACCTCACAAGTGGGTGATCGATAGTTATACGAATTACTATATTCACTTCACTATTTAGTCCCCTTTGTCATTCCAATATCCTCTACATCCAGTCAGTCGATACATCTTCTTTGAATGAAAGCAAAAATAAGCATGGAACGTCCTCATGATGTTTGAGGCCACGATGGCTGCTCAGACTGCGAAAGAAATGAGTGGACAGGATATAGAATGCTAGAGATCTGTGTGAACGGATGCAATGGAGGTTGACTCGTCAAATTATTAGCTGGAGAGTCAATAATCTACTGCAATCTCCCAGATGACAAACACAATAACGGAAGTAGCTATTTTCATGTCACCAACAGCCTCGAGAGCTCTTATGCATTGGAAACCAATCTATTCCGGGACCAAGACGACAAGATTCGATTCAACTTAATAATTGTCGAATGCTCAGCTGCCATTTATAGTTCATATCTAAAGACGACGGAAGAATTCTGCAGACAGATGCAAATGATAATAGAAGAAACGCCAAATGGTGACATCTAAGACCTAATGGGTGACACAAACGAGAATCTGGGAGCAAACAACCCGCAAAGGGATATCATCCTACGTTGGATCGAATCTTGTCGTCTTGGTCCCGGAATAGATTGGTTTCCAATGCATAAGAGCTCTCGAGGCTGTTGGTGACATGAAAATAGCTACTTCCGTTATTGTGTTTGTCATCTGGGAGATTGCAGTAGATTATTGACTCTCCAGCTAATAATTTGACGAGTCAACCTCCATTGCATCCGTTCACACAAATCTCTAGCATTCTATATCCTGTCCCCTCATTTCTTTCGCAGTCTGAGCAGCCATCGTGGCCTGAAACATCATGTGGACGTTCCATGCTTATTTTAGCTTTCATTCAAAGAAGATGTATCGACTGACTGGATGTAGAGGACATTGGAATGACAAAGGGGACTAAATAGTGAAGTGAATATAGTAATTCGTATAACTATCGATCACCCAGTTGTGAGGCAGAGCACAACCAGCTACTGCTTAGCACCATCGCATGGATACGGGACTTGAGCTATGAACTAGTCACCATAGCTAAAGATTACAATGCCCTATCACGGAACCTTGGCTATGGGTATGCTAAGAGAAAACTCGGCCAAAATCTACTGAAAACCATTCGCAATACAGGGCTTACTGAGAATGTTGGAGACGACACTAGGTGAGGCCCTAGTGAAAAGTCATCGAAACTAGAAAACCCTCTGACCCATTCTAGCACACTACTCGTCGAAAATGTCCAGATCATGACTCCTCGAGGAAGTAGTGATCATGCAGTGATGTGTTTCGACCTTGCTTTTCTGGAGCACTTGCAGTGGGACGTTACGCGACCATGTCTGTGCTATAGCAAAGCGGACTGCGCTGAAATGCGGAGGCTTTTGTCCGATGCAGATTGGCCCTTAGCATGGGATGAGCCATCTGTGGATGAACACTGGGAAGTGTCAAAAGAAATTATTCATACAGCAGCCTTGGATACCGTCCCTTTAGTCACAACACAGCCCAAAAGAAAGTCATCATGGCTGAAGAGAGGCACGCGACGTATTCTGCAAACAAAGCGGAAGGCTTGGTTTACGTGGCGCGTATCCAAGAGTCAGACCTGGAAATCAGGAACCGGTGCAGCGCGAGAGTCAGGAGTGAAGAGGAAGTCATTCCAGGCTAACCTTGCCAAAAACTCTTAGCAAACCCCAAAAACTTGTATCGATTCATGCCGGAAAGAAAACCAACCGACCAGGGGGCATGAGCATTAGTAGGCCGAAACGGTCAATATCTCACTATTCTGGAGATGGCTGAAACACTCAGTTTAGCCTTCGCCAAACAGTTAAACAGCTATGTGGGTATTACCTTTATGAACCGAAATGGAGACGCTACTATTTCAAAGGAGGAAGACCTAGTGGCTACTCCCCAAATAAATCTGGCAATAGTACTAAGGAAGCTACAGAGACTCACACCTGGGGAGTCACCAGTGTATGACAACATGAGGCCATATATTCTGAATCAGTGCCTCAAAGCTCTTCGTAGGCCCTTATGCGACTTGTTCCAACACTCGATGGATTTGCGCAAACTGCCAAGGGAGTGGAAGAGAGCCATCCTTTCTCCGATCTTCAAGGGTGGGGATAGGCAAAATCCCACTAGTTATAGACCAGTAGCTCTACTCCCAGTGGTATCAAAAGTATTATTGACGATCACATCAGTGATTTACTCGATCGGTCTAATACACTCCATGAAGCCCAATACGGTTTCAGGAAAGGTAAATCCTGTGTAACAAACCTACTGTCAGCTTGCGATGATTGGACATCATGCTGGGAAATGAAAGGCAATTTCGCACTAAGGTCAATCGAGTACGATCATCTTGGCACAGCTCGTCACCAGGAGTGTCGCAGGGTTCTATCCTAGGACCACTGATGTTTTTGGTTTTTATCAATCATCTACCATGCCGTCTAAGCTGCCCGACTCTTCTATACGCTGATGACGTAAAGATATGGAGGGCGATAAAGTGTCCGGAGGACTCACATAGGCTGCAGGCAGATCGAAAGCTTTTGGAAGATTGGGCGGTGGCCAGTGGCATGACTTTCAACCTGAAAAAAATGCAAAGTAGTGAAGTTACGCACCTGCAGACTGCGGAATGCAAGTTACACCCTATGCAATGAAAGTTTGTCCTGTACAACGTCAGAGCGCGACTTAGGTCTAGTTCTAACGGAGAAAATGAACACAAGCGTAAATTACGCGGGGGATGTAGTGAGGGCATGTGCTGTCATACACTTTACACATAGACAGTCAGGTGCACTCCTGAGCTCTTTCTCAGGTTGTAGGAAACATACGTCAGACCACACCTTGAAATATATAATGTTATTTCACCCTCACTACTTAGAAGAGACGCTAACCTCTTAGAAGGAGTCCAACGACGGACGACAAAAGGAGTGGTTGGTCACCGAAATAAACGATACGATGAAAGGCTAAAGAAATAAGGCCTATTCACACTTAGCTTCCGTTGGATTAGGGGGGATTTAATTACTGCCTACAAAATAAAAAAATGACCAGAATCATCCAAACAAAGGTGTTCTACCATCGAGTAGTTATAGGCTTCCTCGTGGAAATCTCAGAAGGATAGCTCACAAGAGCGCAGGGACCCGGGGGCACTCCCACTGTTTTCATTGAGGGTTTTCCGTCCCTGGAATTCCTTACCGGCAGATGTAGCTATTGCACCGTCTGTAGACGCCTTTAAGCGAAGGCTGGGAACCATGCAGCGACACAAGGACTGCATCCATATGTCCTATCCCCTTAAAATCTGATACACCATTTTGGGGTAGACAACTAAGTTCGTCGTTTTACTTTTTTACATTCTCTCCCGTCTTACTCTCCTGACAGCTTTAACTAAACTTATTATTATTATCATTATTACCGATATATATTATTCATATTATTCTTCAAATTTAATTAGCTGACTGTTGTTACGTTTTCTTATTTCTTTTTCTGTCTGTTAGTCTGAATGACTTCACTAATTATGTCTATTATTATTATCTCCTTTCTTTTGACGAAGATACCAGAGGACTAACTGGTGAAAGAATCAACTCCATTCAAAGTAGTAACAGTCTTAACACACCTCATGCTACAAACCACATATAATGAATCCCAGCGCTACTCCTTTTGGAGTCAACCAAAGCTATAACAGTCAAGTGGCGGACGAGCAACGCAGAAGTTTAACAAAGATCACGAACCTATACCTCACAATCAAGAGGCAAGCAAAAGAAATCAAATTGGTTTATACTAACTCGTAAAAACGATATCGGTTATTGGAACTACAAAATCACTTGTGTTATCATGGGACTAAACGAATAGTCCAACATGTTCAACAGAGTTAAATGAGGAGAGAAATGAGGTCTGCTGTGCTGCAAGTCACTAAAACCTTAGTTGGGTCCAAGGATTCAAGAAGAAAGTACTGAGGAACCAGTGTGTTTATGTGAACGCATTGGATGTTGGATGACCTAGACAGTACTTTTGACTCATAAGTCATCTGTAATAAAATATAATATAAAGTAAGTATAGTGTTTTGAAATGATAGTGACATCCTGAAAGGGCCGAATTTCAAAAAGCCACAAAAATACCGTCGGATCAGACCTGATTATTGCTGATGTATCTTTGATCCAACTGAATGGTTAAAGTATTTTTAGGAGGCCCTAAACTTGAAATATATATATATATATATACATATTTGTATATATATATACATAAAAACTCACAAGTACATATGAATGTATGTGCGTACATGCTTCCTACGTTATCAGTTAACTCCACTCAGAATGTGTTGTTGCTCATAAAAATTCTAGTACGTTGCATTGCAAAAGCTAATACCTACGGATATTTCGGTAGATGTTACTCAATCCTAAGTGCACCCTAAGCTTTTCCTCCACTATTTTGTGAACATTTTATGAAGTGGTCGAAGATTTTACCGGTTGGATGTGAAAGAAAACTGGATATTTAGAGTGCAGTATTCTTTCTGAACGTCTTACACAGTTACTTGTCGCACTTCAGCGCAGTGTTTTTGTAGTCCTTTGAATTTACGACGAATCTGAAATTCCCTGTGCTCTACTTGTGTTACTGGTGAAGCGGTATCTACTTAGTTGACTCAGACAAGCTTGAATAAAGAGGCAACGGTTATTTAAAATTGGCATCCCTTTACTACCAGTGTAGTCTGGAACGTTACCATTAGCTCACTAATGGTCAATGGGTGGCAATTTATCAAATTCGTCCAAGTATCATAGTGTATCAGGTTATATTCTTTAATATCCAGTATAAATATCCGCTGTAACTGCAGACAATCTGGACTGTTTTGTAGATCTTGTTGGGAAGTTTAAACAGTTTTTGTGAAGTGTTAGCTGCTGGTTGCAGTCATTTTCAATACCCTTTACTTATATTGAAGTTGAAAAATAGGGCATAATTACAACTTGAATTGCGACCTCAAAGTTAGTTTGCTGTGGCCATAACTTTTCCCCAACCGCAGTACCAGCTTTAACTGAAATTTTATTCCTAACCAAACTCTTAACTGTTATTCAAAAACGCATTCTCTTATGCTGGCAGGTGGTTTTTTATTTAAGTTCAGTTATATTTTCTCTTTTATGCGTGATTTTGTCATACCTGTCATGTCGTATCTTGGTGTGATTTGGCTTAGTTTCCTGAGCCGTTTGTTATTTGTTTTATTCGCAATGCACGTAACCTCATTTTTTGCTGTTCTCCGCATAATTTCTTAGATGTTTTTGTTGCTTTTAATGAAAAGGGGGATAGTGACGTTATGCACTCTTGAATAGGATAGTGTTAAAAGTTAGTGTTTTTAACATCCGGGGAAATGCGTTAACTTGTTTAATAATAGTAATAATAATAATAATTTTTGCTTTATTCCAAAAACAGTACTAATGATACAGCAAGGAATTTTCAGCATTCAGTACAATATTGCATCTAATTTACTCAAAACGGCAAAAAATAAACATTACATAATAATAATAAAACGTTATAGCAGCTATTTAGCAATTACAGTATGCGAAAAGGAGAAAAATATGCATAAAGTATAAAATTGTAGTAATAATAGTAATAACAACTAAAATAAAATAGCTAAGTTATAATTAGGCGATAGAAAGGGTGACACCATAAAATTACAGAAAGATGAACGATGAAAGGGTCGATTCACTTTGCTAATTACATAGTAACTTATATTTTTCACGTCTAACAGTGTCTCCATCACATAAAATACTGGCTAAATAGGGTAGAATTTTTGTACTTAGTGGTGCGAGCATATAACTTCTTATATTGACTTCTTGTCCTACCTGATGAGATGCAAGGGGATAGTTGTGAATAAAGGCGGTGCAGGGGGTCTGACAGTACGGCCTTTACCCATTTTGTACAGGATTTTATATGTCCCTTGACTATAATATTGGCGAGTTCACGCAGTGGCATACCACAAGCCCTACTCACAGCATTTAATATTCTTCGTAATATGATATAGTCTTTTTTGAGAAGCCCAGAAAAGGTTAATGGAGAGCAATAGAGTACAATAAGTAAAATACAGGAGTTTACAAACTGTAGAACTAAAGGTTGGCTGATACCTGATTGTCTTAACTTTTTAATGTAGAAGGTAAGACGAAACATTTTCTTAGAGATTGATAAAATATGGGATGACCATGAAAGGTCAGAGGAAAGAACTAATGCTTGACTTGGTTTCAATTTCAATGCCACCTATGCTACAGGCATCATGGGAGCTAACTAGTTCATGTATATCACGTCGATGCTTGAAAGTAAAGTTAACTGCCTAGCTCTTTCTACCTGAAATACTAAACAGCGTTTTTCCTGGTTGTTTACATTTTTAATTACCGACTATCCCAATCAAATTACCGCAGAAGAGAGTTGTAGTTCCTGAATGTTCATTTCGATAGCACAGTGGTAGATCATTAAGGCGCAGAGACCTAGTCAAACAGAGGTTCATTCATCATATATTGTCATTCATTAGATAAAGAGTCTTACAAATCATAAAGAATATAAAGTCCATACTCAGTTGCTCATCTCTTCCTTATGAATTTCTTGATCGCTAACTTCCTTTGAGTGACCATAGCGTTCGTTGTTGAACAGAAGCCACGTGTTTACCCAAAATAACAACCGCTTCATGTAAAACTATTACGTTGGCTCTGCGAAGATATGCATTCCTCATTGTTATGCTGCCTCCTGAAGTGTCCCCTTTCGCGCCTCATGCCTAATCTAACCATAAATACTGATTCCTGGGGCACGTGGTCATTAACGGGGTTTTGTCTGAGATTGCTGTATCGGTAATCCCTCTCCACGATACCCATTGTTAGCTTACTGACTTTGATACCCAGTCTATGGTTCATGAAGCACCAGGCGAATTGTGTCTTTCGGGGTAGTCGGATTCCACAAATTTAAACAGAGTTGAGAATTCGCCACATTCCATTATTGCAAAGGTGCTTTACACTTCGATAATAGTAGATAAAGACCATGCTTCAAAACAATAAGTCGTTAAATGATTATCATTTGAATAGATTATTTCATTCTTATGGTGTGAAAGTTTTAGTCTGAATATTTTTTGGATAATCAAAAGTATCACTGGGCACTTTATACGTAACCAGTCTTTGTTGTTTACCATATATATATATATATATATATATATATAATTTTGAACGTTATAATTTTCACATACATTTTCCATTTTCGGATGTATGACATGTGCTTACGTTATTTCAGGACGACACTATTATTTCTAAGAAAATATTCCGTCTTACCTTCTACATCAAGAAGTTAAAACATTCTGGTATAACCCAACCCTTACTCCTACAATTCGTTAATTCTCGCATTCTGCCTATTATTCTCTATTGTTCCCCCTTACTTTTTCCCCGGGCTACTGAAGAAAGACTATAACATATTACGCAGGATGTTAAAGGTTGTCAGCAGAGTAAGCAACGTGCCACTTAACCAACTTGTTAATGTTCTGGTCGACAGGCACATGGACTCATGTGAAAAATGGGCCAAATCCATTTTATCTAACTCACATCACCCTCTTCACTCACAACTCTCCCCTTGAATTTCATCAGATAAAACCAGAAGCCTATATAGAAAACTGTATGCTCGCACCAGCAAGTACAAAAACTCAACCATACCCTACTTAGCTCGTGTTCTGTGTGATAAAGAAAGCATTAGGCGTGACACCTATAATTCATTAAATAGTCAGTAGAACAATCGGACTCATATCATTTATAGGTACAACATTTTCTTTCTCTCTTTTCCTTTTTTCTCTCTCTTTTTTCCATTATGTGCTGCTTTGTTTCTTTCTCTCGCTTACGCCAGTAAATATGATAGCTCCTACTTTTCTAACACCTTCAAACACTGTTCAGCTTTACCTTTGCTACCGACATGCGAATGTATTGTTGAAATAATGAACTGAGATTTCCTTAATCTATGTAGAATTCTATTTATTGATAATGTACTAACTGGATGCAATACTGTAGTAAAAATGCTGAGAATTCCATTCTGTATCACAAGTACTGTTTTGGAATAAAGCAAATTATTATTATTAATCAGTAATGCCTCACAAAATGTACCTTGATAATATGAGTAACATCATACCTACAGTGTCAGACATTAAGGTAATCATTAATCCTGCCTTTGGTTATCTAGATTGCCAAGGTAGCCCACATGAAGGGTTTTTGAGATGGCTATGTGTAACCAAAGCTTCTAAATAAAATGGCATATAATCTGCTGCAAGGATGCAGTCATATTTCCTATTCATATAAAATTTTTAGAACAAGTTTTTCTTTTCATATATATGTTTTTTCTAGTTTGTTCTGTTATCTTTTCATTTCCGTCAATCCACTATTTGCGCTGTTTTACAAGGGAGCAAAGTGGGGTGATGTAGGTGGTTAAATGTTTAAAGCGATTCAGCTATTCATGTATATGATATGACGTTGGCAACCACTACCATACTTAGGTTCAAATTTAGCAAATAAATGTGATTTGTTATAAGACCGTTTTAAAATAGTCTCATTGTTGATGAGTTTAGGATGTGACTGAAGTTGAGATAAAAACCTGGGTCGCAGCAGTATCCGAACCAGTGACCTCAGGGATGTAGGCCTGGCACCACAATCGCTATACTAGTACGTGACAGCCTCCCCCTGGTTAGGTCATATTGCCTTTTCGAAGGCGTACAGAACTGTCGCTCCTTATGGAGAACTTGTTTTGATTCCGATCATGCCTTAATGTTAGTTAGATTTGTCTTGCCACTTGATCATAACGTCGTCCTGAACAGGTTGACTTAAGTAGATCGGCCACTTGTGGTACTGTAGCCAAATATCAAACCTAGCTAGAGCCAAGGCTAACATAGACGAACACTGACTTCGCCCACAATACGTCATGAAGATGGCGAGCAGATTAGCAGAGCATCCACCTAAACACCTGGATTTCTGTGAGTTCTTTGTTATTTCTAGATGGCCGTCGGTCCATTCCAGCAAGTACCGGATATGTTTTGCGTGAGGCCTTTAAGCATAAATCAACTGATACTGACATGAAGATCGCGAATTTTGGCGTTCAGAGTGTATGTATGAGATGGAATCGGCAGGAGTCAGGAGCTGTTCTAGCTCATCCGAGTCACAAGCAGCAGAAAGCGTGGTGTAAACTAGGTCTGTGGAGCAGATGGTATGCTTACAAACAACATAAGAGGGCACTTGGAACACTTGGTGCAGAGCACTTTGAGAAACAGTATAGTCGGCTCACAGTGCCAGTAGTCAATATGATTAATCACAGTGTTCGATCCATCAAACGAAGCGGAGATCTGAAAGAAACTCAAAGTACTGAAAACCTATAAGGGACTTGATATGGCGTCATTACCGTGTCTATCTTTAAAAAAGGCCTGCGGTATACACCTGGTAAGCATTGAGGTATCGGTCTGTTATCGATTGCGGCTAAAATATTGGCCACTGTCTTGTTCCACAGGCTTTGTAAAACGCGTGAGAAATTGGCTTGCAAAGGACAGGCACAATTTCGTTTAGGTTGTGGATACGTCAACCGTATATTCTGTCCTTCTAAGTTGTTAAAACACTATCACACATATTGCAGGACGAAGACCGTTGTGTCTCTTAATATTAGGGCTGCCTTCAATTCGTTGGCCACTACTGTTGTTCGGAAACCTCTGTTGAAGGTAAATTCACATGGGAAGTTTTTCAACATTCTGGAAGCCCTAAACGAATATATTTCACGTAGAGTGAGGGCACCATTGTTCTTCACTGACAGTGAGGGTAGACAGGATTTCCCAACCTCACCACTTATTTTTGTCTCTGCCATGAATAACATTCTCAAGGCAGCTCTAAAGAATGCAGTCGTGTAAGTCTGCTGCCTGGGAAAAACGTTTTGACTGAGAGTTTATAAACGACATTGTCTCATTGTACGATAACAAGCATGCTATTTATATCTGACTTAATCCACTAGTGACTAATATTATGAATTGCATTATGTGGTTTGCCTCGTGTGAGTGCAGGTATTGTTGCAAGATTATCAGGAGCCTTTCACTGCAATCACCTTACAGTTAATTCTAGGTAGTTGTTTTGGGTGCTGTCGGTGTGGCGGATAAAATCTAACTATTAGCATATGCCAAACTGAGCGGCATCCAGCACCTTCGTAACGTTGGACTGACTGTGGAATGTCGGGTTCATAAAACCGCATTGTAGACAATCCTGCTCTGAGCCTGTAAAATCTGGTCTGTGCAAGTTGAGAATGTGTGTCGACTTGCGCGTCCCACCATCGATATCTCCGAAAAACTGTTTACATCCGGTTGCGTCATCCTGTATGTACCTGAGGTCCAGCTATGTGTTTGAATACAGTGAAGGTCATCTTTCGATTAGTGGTTTCATCTTGGGAAGCCAGCTCCAGTAGCTTAGTCATGTGCTACGAATGTCATCTCAGGGGCTTTCATATCGTTCACTGTGCTTTAGTCCTGAGAACTGGTGGAAATTCTGAACGGTAGCTAGGCTATAACTTGCTCATTTGGGATGAAGGGTAGTTATTTCAGGTTATCATGTGTTGTTGGATCACGACTTCCTGGGAGAGCCCGTCCGATTGACTGCCTTGGGATGTGGTTAGATATGCATTAGTATCGGAATCAGTTATGAAAATGCTGCAGTATTTTCCTTTCTTCCTCTTTCTTCAAGTAGTATAAAGTGATTAACTTTTCTTTGTATACTCCTGATAAGTATGCTTAGTTGTTCTCATAGTGTTGTCCCTAAATTATTCTATTTCTTTTTTCGTTATGTTACTGCTTAATTGTTTTCGTGCGGGACATTTTTCGGTGCCTTTATTGTATCTAGTTTTTGTCTCAAATTAAAGAATGCATTCCCATCATTCTATCGTCTGGGATGTGTTACCCGACAGCTGACTGGTTTTCAGTGCTAGGTCTATAATCTGGTTGCTATAAGTTTGAATTCCGAGTTTCTTTTGTTGTAAAATTCACCTATCATCCTATTAAGAAAATAGATTTTTGTTTTTTGTATCTTGGTCCTACTTTTACCGCAAGAATCTTTCAATACTTATTTGCAGCTATTTCAAAATTTATCGTGAATGTTTACAGTTGAACAAAATGAGCTTAGAAGGCAATTCACGAGAAGTAGTCTATGTCAAAGCAAAGGTAACGAACGCCATTTTTATCCCATAATTGTTTTCATCTACTGCTAACTAATTTATAGCTTGGTACAGAAGGTGGTACTGATCAGTATAAGAAATTCGCTATTGATCCAAATATCACTGATTACAAAGTTCTTTTGGGCTTGCTGTGTAAATGTTTTAACATTAACTCGTAAGTAATCTGCTATGTTTTTATTTATTCAAATATGATTTATGTAAAGTGTAGTATTGTCTCATACAGCAATGTTAACAAGTTGATTGAACTCTTGTATTACAGTGTATTGTTTATTAAGTTGTCATTTCATTTTTCACTTGTAATATTCAGGTTTGCTGCCATCTGGATGTTTCATGCAAACTGATGCTCTTCAGGTTTATATATTGTAATTTGACGAAATGAAGGAATAAGAATATGAGATGATGAATGCATAAGCAGTCATGCCTGAAAAGAACTGAACAGATTCAACAATTATTTTAAAGTTTGGAAAGCAAACAGTTTTTAAGACCTCATCCTTAGCTACTATTTTTCTATAATGGCTCTCGATAATTCTGTCGTGCAGCTGTTTTTCTTAATATTAAGACTATTAGGACGTATGTTCTATGTCATAACTGCGGTCAGCTTTTATATTACTATCTAATTATTCCTTTCCAGTTATAGTCTGTTTATTTACTCGGTTGGACTCCTACTAATATTCATTGTTTCCAACAAGAGCATAATTAAAAATGTTAGAATGGGATTCGAACTGTGTATTTTGTGTGGCTGAGACTGCAGTTAAAAGTAGGAACATATCACAATCCATGGAATCATTTTGTGTTCGATTACTGAGTTGTCTATTGTCAATTGAAACTTTTTCAATGGAACTGGTTGGTCGGTAACTGCGGTAATTAGTGCTGTTGTGAGGCAATAAAGACAGCTGTATATTTATCACCTCTGATATTCCCTTTGGATTTTTATTTGCCTAGTTTGGGACTCTTCATCAGTGCGCACCAACCGCCAGGATTCGAACCCAGGACCTTCTGGTTACAAGGTGAGCTAGCTCGTAGACCATTGAGCCATTGGGACCCGATTCAATGGCCAACCCATGAATTCCAACTTCTGCCAATTCACGACATAGCGCGACCACTAGCCAATGTCTTCTGCGAATGTTTGTCCTCACCCCCGACCTGCTTGTCGAGTGTCTGGATAATTATTATCAACCAGAGTTTGTGTCAGCTTTCTTCCTTCTTCACCAAGTGTTTCTTCACTGCATATTCGTTGGATTCTACTGAAGAGGCACCTTACTAAGGCTCTTTTGTACCGGACAGGGTAGAAACTGTGATAATTAAGATACTATCATATCCTGTCCGGTTAGGTTTTCTTCGTTTCTCTACGCGAAATACATACTTACCAATTTTGATTTTACCTATTACTTAACATGTGTTGTTAGGGTATACACATTTACCGAGCAAAACAGTGTATTACCTATTTTTACTTAATAAAGTAAATTTCATTTCATTTTATTTGCCCTGGTACAAATTTTAGTGACTTTTCAATCTGTTATTTGGCTGTCGATGAATTCGGTGAACAATTTTATTTACCGTTACAATCTGATTGGGATTTAGATGCATCGATTATCACATCTTCTGATTCCACCTTACGGTTGAAAATCACTCAAAAACCCAAAGTCTCTGGTATGTTTTGTCTATAATTTTTTATTATCTTTTACTACAGTTTTAGTGAACAAATTAATTTTCAAGCGCATCGAAATAAGGTATAATGTTACAAATGACCAGTTTTGTTTTCAGTTAATTCTTATGTTCTGATAATCTGACTACTCCCGATCTACCAGTTTGACCTATGTAGTTGACCCCACAGTCATTGCAAGGTATTTTGTAAATTATATTATTTTGTCTAATTGGGTCAACAGGGTCCTTTAACCTACAGAGCTTGTCCCTGAGTGAGTTTGTAGGTTTAAATGCCACTCTAATTCCTGCTTTATTGAGAATCCTACATAGGGTCTCAGATGTCCCCTCTTTATATGATAGGACTGTGGATACCTTATACTCTCTATTATTTATGTTATCATTATTAGTTTTCCCATTATTTTTATTTTAGAAAAAATCTTAGCAATTGCACTGCATGTATTAACACACAACCACACAATAGGGTGGGAGAGGGTTAAAATTCTAAGAAGTAATGTAGGTAACTGGAGAGAGAGGTTGATTACTGAATCCTTGTTCATCGAGTCTACACCCAACACATGCAATAGGAATGACTCATCACTCATACCGGAAATATGGAAAATACTACTACCAATCAAGTCAAGCGATGGAAAATAATGGAATTATATAAACGAAGTTAGAAAGTTGTGTGAGTGAGTACCTTGATATGATTATGAGCAGTAATAAATTGTGCTCGAAACGTCATCAGTAAATATTACTGTATAACACTGTGAGACTTTATCAAAATAAATTTTACCCATAATGCAATTATACTCTATCACAGTGCACAAGTTCTATTTTTTTATAACGGCTTGAAGAGTTTTTCACATTAACTGTGCAACTTATTTTTGTGTGGACAGGACTTTTGAATGTAAACAAAAAAAGCCCTAAACGTCAATCACAGTTTAACTGTTCGCCACTTTACATGAATGTGTAGAGTAGGTAAATAGTGGACTCCAGCTTTGATGATGAACACTTAGTGGACAAACGTCTTAATTAATGGTTCATTATTTCATTAGGTTGATGTTACTACAGCTTTCAGAATTTTGTAAAGCAAAAAAAAAAACAATTCAGCGAAGAAAAATTTCTTTTTTGGCGAAATCATCTTCAGAGTCTGTGGAATCGTATTGGTATTTATATTATGTGCAATTATTATTCAATTAGAAGTGAGGCAGTTGAGTGTCCACTTGACAAGTGTGAAGAGGACGAAAAAAATGTACAAAAAGAGCATGTAAGAGTGATAATAGCGAATGCATTGCCAAAAATAAAAGCGAACGATTAGGGAAGATATTAGGACTATGATAGAATAAGAGACTGAGCAAAACTTTTTCGGGGTTATATTGACAAATCGTCAGCGCCTCCGTCATACACAAATGCTGAAACCTGACACACCTTATACCATTCAGTCTCACCTTGTAGATAATCTTAAAGGATGACTCTGGTAGAGCTGCGTATCCTGAGTTCACTAGATGCTCGACCATAGAGCTAGAAATAATTGCCTCTTATATTACTCTCTTACCATGTTCGATAATGTTCAGAGATTCGTTTGGAAAATGTTCGCTTTGTGCAACCAATATAACTAGATCCACAAGAGCAAGTGAATTCATGAACACATAGAAGTCTCTTAAAGCAGTAGTGTGTCCTTCACACATTCATCGATCATTTGTTAACTGATCCGCAGCTCAGCCGAATAGAAAACTTTACTCAGCGATCTGGATAGGTGGTTCTTCATAATCTCTCAACTGTGGTATCATCTTTAAATCCAACATTCAAAAACAGCAGATTCTTCGGTGCCATTTAGATTCTTTCAGGCTTCTGCTTTACTTGCATATTTTTCTCTATGAATCTTGTAGGATACCCATTTTAATGAGACTTGTCGGAGTCTATCTAGTTCATCATTGATTATATCACTGGTGCCATATTCTTCTTATCCTTAAGGATAAGAAATGCATCAAATTCCTCTTTCTTCTCTGAATTGTCTTTCACTTTCTTCATGACTTAATGAATATTTCCAGTCTTTTGTAAAATAGTGAAGAAATGAAATAATGAGTACCATCATGATAATGGTGACAGTTTTGGTTTTGTCTACCTTGGTTATAAAGCTTTCTTTTATCAACAATAGTCCTAAGTGGAAGAAATATTTAAATTTTTATTGATACCGTAAAAGTAGAACTCTCTAACCCATGAAGATTGAATCACACTTGGTATTTATTGTACTTTCACAGAAATACCTTCATTTATAACATTACAGTATAAAGCAACATATATACATACATATAAGCGTTAAAATTTAATGATGTGTATGTAGTTAGTTATTTCTTATTCTAATTAGTGTCATATGATTATCTAACTTTGACTCATGCTTGCTATATGATATGTATTTATTGAATAAGTTGACGTATGTATGTGGTTCTTTATTACTATTACTGTAACCACTAGCAGTAATATAACTACTTTTTTGACATTACTTTAGGTATTTTTTCTGGTTTATTGATTATTTTGTGAACCTAGTATCACGAAGCTGCTTTATACGCATATATATATATATATATATATATATATTACGGCGTTGGAAGGCACCATAGAGTTAAAAGGAAGATTCTAAACACAGATTTGACTTATGCTAGTAGTGTTTTCTTCAAGTCATGATATATCAAATCCTCAACTCTCCAGTGTTTATCGGTAGATTTCCTGGGCAACACCACCAACAGCAACAACAACAGACAACAATCAGCATAAATGGAAGGAACCTGAAAGAAACAACCTCTTTTACCTACTTGGGAAGCATTGTTTCAACTACAGGCGGAACTGACGAGGATATCAAAGCAAGGATCGGGAAAGCAAGGCAAGCTTTCATTACTCTCAAGTCTGTGTGGAGGTCAACAGCATTCAGCATCAAAAATAAGATCGGGATTTTCAACTCCAATGTGAAGTCAGTCAGCGCTACTATACGGATCAGAGACTTGCACTGCGCGTCATAAAGAGCATCTCAAACAAACTACAGACCTTCATTAACAGTTATCTTCGCTCAATACTCAAGATCAGATGGCCGGAAAGGATCAGCAACAAGGATCTCTGGGAGCGAACCAACCAGGAACCGATTGTGAAACAAATAGGCAGGAGGAAATGGAGATGGATAGGCCATACTTTGAGGAAACCCTCAAGTGACATCACTAGACAAGCCATCGCTCGAGTGGAACCCGAAAGGGAAGCGGCGAGTTGGTCGTCAGTTCGAGGTGACTTGGAGGAGGTCATGTGAAGAGGAGATAAAAACGTGTGGGCGGACGTGGAGCCAGGTGAAGACTAGCAGAGAACCGAACGCAATGGAGACGCACTGCTGAAGCCCTATGTTCCTCTAGGAATTAAAGGAAACAATAATAATAATAAACCCTACTTAAACCACACTTAACTAACTACTCATAACCAATTAATGGCAACTGTAATGCACTTAGATACACCAACTCGCATAAATCATTGATTAGATTGCAAATTTGATTTGGAAGATTCATTCGGCTTTGAAGACAATTAGACGTGATAGTTAGTCATGATGTTTTGTCTTTACAAATCGGACCGTAATAAAAGCGGCGCAAATGGTTATTATTTATACTGGTGCGTATTTTAATTGCTGTGATGTGTCCTACTACTGCATTAGCCGTATATTGTCTTTCCTTCTCACTACTATTTTGTATATTTTAATCAGATCCTCAAGATTGGGATATTGTTATTCCAAGCAGTGTCCAATCTAATTCCAAAAGACGTAAACCTCCAAGTGATACAAAAAATGATTTAAAACACCATGACTCAAAAGGATCTTCACTTTTTTCACAATTAACTCAACGTTTAGAAAAAACTGTTGCAAATGTTCGCAAGGCTATTGGTAAATACTTTTGTGTATATATTTACACCTTTTATTCATTGAGTATATATATATATATTATTTATATAATTATTAAAACACAAAAGTAGTACATTATGAGTACCAAATGATGCGTCATACAAAGTCGTATAGCTTGAGCAAGGGTTGGGATACAGCCCAGACGTCTAGACCAAAACAGGTTCATGCACCATTCGATCTTCTCGAATTCCGGACCCCACATACATCATAAGTTCGGTATCTGTGTTTTACAGCCCCGTCTAAGTAGACGTGAATGTCCGCCAGTCCGGTTGTAAACGCCAGATGTTCAAATTCGCTCTTTAACTTTTGTGAGGAGCATCCCCGCCGTGGGAATGCAGTGAACAGAACTTACCTAGCAAGAAGCTATGGACGCGTGGCCACTTGAGAAGAGCATTTCTAGTAGGAGACCGAATTTGACCTACCCTCGATGGTACCAGATTATTTATGTGTACACATATATTAAATATTCATTTTTATTACGTCAGTTTGTTTGCGTGTGTAAGGGAAAACTGCTTAAATTTCCTTAAGACGTCCACCAGTGGAGTTGATATACTTGAGATTGAAAACCTCAGTCTTTATGAACTTGTAATATTTCGTTAACTGGTGTCAGTAACATACAAAAGTAAGGTTATCTTTAAATTATACGTAGAATACTCTGGGTAATATTTCCTAGATGGTATTGAATTCTGTTTGTTGTTGTAGCTGATACCTTTAAATTTATTAGTCGTTGCAAAAGTCTCCAGTGAGTGATTTGACACCTTAAGTGATAAATCCAGTAATAACTGGAAATCAAAATCTCAACAGAAATTTATTTTTATATTGTATCACACTTCATTTAGACATTTTACTATAAAGCGGTATGAATTTAGCCCAAAAGTTAATTTTCTAAGATGTGAAAGCGTTTACTTAGTTTAAAAGGTAACTTTTAAACAATATTCAGTCTTAAAATTAAATAATAATAATATGAAGACTTGGCCCATTGTCTTCAGTATCTGGCTTTCAGTCAATGCTTGTCAGGTCCAAACTCCACTCCAGCTATTTCATCCTGGGCAACTGACGATTGTCATCAGCCCTGACACAGTGAGTGCGGCTCATAAACCGATAATAATATAAAACACCTGTCTCAGGCGAATAAGTTCAAATACACTGTAGTAGTAAGGATGAATGTGTTCGAATGTCTTTAGAATTAGTTTGGATAAAAGACAAGGGGTTATACGGAATGTGTGCTGTAGCTAGGGGGCATATATGTATAGGATGGAATGTTTAAAGAAATGTTTCATGAGTTTTAATAACTGCAATAATTACATTAATAGAGTAAGTTCATATTTTTGACGGACTTCTTTCGACTACAGATTTCAATGCTTTAAACTACAAAGCAGAAAAGATTCAAGAGATTGCAGAACGGTTTCAACACACTTTGATATACATTTAAATTGATAATTGCTTTTTTGCATTATTAAGAGTTTAAGCTTCCAATGTTTTGTGTTTTTATTTATTAAGTCATTTAGGAAAACTCTTTTAGCTATCGATTTACCTTAGTCGATACTAAGAATTTGGGTTACAATTCGTGTATATGTGATAAACGGGTCCACCATAACTGGAGAATGGCTTTATCTCGAGAGTCTCGAAAAAACATAAGATTCTTTGGTTACAGGATTTCATCATGAGCTGACACTGGTTAGAGAACCATTGGAAAACCTGGAGGTACTCAACAGCTGTCTCGCAGCCTTGTTGGACTCTTCAGCAGTGCGCACCCACCGACAGGGTTCGAACCCAGGACCTTCTGGTTACAAGACGAGCTAGCTCGTAGACCATTAAGTCACTGGGACCATATCCAAAGGACCATGAACTCTAACTTCTGCCAATTCATGACACAGCGCGACCCCGGTGAGTGCGTACTGATGAAGAGTCCCAAACTAGAACGAAACAGTTGTCCAGTACCCCCAGGTTTTTCAATGGTTCTCTTACTGATGTCATCTCATGATGAAATCCTGTAACCAATCAATCAAATCCCTACAAACCAATACTTGAATAAGGTTCTTTATTGTTGAAGGTGTACTTTCCCAGAGAATGAGAACAAACATAAAGTGTAGGTTCAGTATTGTTTGCCTCATAGCGTTTTAAATGACAAACGTTGGATGTAGCTAGTGTGCTTGAATCGATTTTATACCTATGGTAGAATTTATTTCTCGCATATGATTAAAATAACAAGTGTAATTTAACAGCTGAGAGTAACTATATGTTCACTTTATCAACTCGGAACAAGGTGTTCTAACTACAAGTCAACAGTGAATCTTTGTATTCGTCTATTTTAATGATAATAAAAATAATCTCAAAGTTGTTCACTCGTTCTGTTATTAATGTTCTTGGTACTTTTTATAGGATTTAGTATTGACGGTGATGGTTTTATCGACTCAGTTCAATCTCCTATATCAGATATACAAATGCGACAATACATGGATGAAAATGGACGCATTATTTATTTAAATCAGTTTTAGTAAGCTATAATTCTTTTAATTTTTCTTAAATGTTATACCCCTTTTCCTAACACTTTAAACGAAGACAGTTCACAGTTCGATACTATTTGAAGCTTTCATTCAGTCTTTTAAAGGGATTAATAGTAAGATGAGGAATGTTTTTCAAAATTGATGGAGAAGATTTGTAGTTCAGGTAGAGATGATATTGGTGTAGTTGTGTTCTCTGAGCTGGATAGTTTAATTGTGCATCTTTCACTACTGTCTTTCTAAGACAACATCTACAGCTCTAACTCCATTGCGAATATGAGTTCTTTTTTTAGAATTCTTCATAAACGACATAACTGTTTTTCCTGATAATGACCGTAACTATGGCTGTTTGTCTTCAGAAATTTTCTTATTCTTGTGTTGATTCGTATTCGTATGATCGTTTCTTCTTAGCCGATTGATAACTTTGATATGTGACAACACGCCTGTTGAGTGTAGGTTGATTTGAGTACGAGGTGGTTTCTAGGGAACCCTCTAGCATTCTCAGTATTTTCACTGTTTAAAATTTCTACATTGATCCAGTCAAACTGGTGTCCGTTTTGCTATGAGTGAATATATGACAGCTAAATTAATATTCTTGAAGGTGACGTCGAAGTGGGACGTCCATTAAATGGATAAACTTTTTAAATATGGATTTACCTAAGAATAACTTAATGTTGACCAAGAAACTGTTCATAAAATTAAGCAGTTGAATAATACTAAATGAGATGTCACTTTGTATTTTCTCAACAATTAATTTACAACTAGCATGATTGGTTGATTGATTGACAGCACTTTAATCATGTGAGACAAAACTGTGAGTGTGTGTGTGATTCTCGTCGGATTTCCGAACATCACCCTGTGTGGTTAAGTAAAGGGCAAACAAAATCTATTCGTAGCCCTATTCTATCTCATCTTGTGGCTACAGATCACAAGATTGATGTTAACCAGGCTTTCAAGGTCATTTACCACATACCAACAAATCTTAACTTCGCCTTAAGAGTTCTACTACTAAATATTGCTGAGGCTGGCTGTTGGGATCCACATTAAGAAGTCTAATTTGTGCGTCCAAAAGAAGCTAGTTCAGACATTATCCTTACTTTGGCCATCTAGGTTTGAATGATCCTCAATTTTTGTGGAAATTTCCCTAATTTTAGTTGATATTCTATTCGCTATTATATCTTTATTATTATTATAATAATTTAAGCATCTTTAATGAACTGTAATTGCATTGATCATACTTTACAAATCGATATTATTTAAAAAACACCAATATTGTTAGTGACGATTATTCTGGAATATTCTATGTATATAAACATGTATATAATTGTAGAGCCAGAAGACGAAATTATCGAAAAGGATATTCTTTTTGCTCAGTTATTTTGTGTATTATGAACCAATCATATTTTAATAGGTCAAGTAGTCAGTTCAGGATTGGTAAAGCTTAAATTTACTGCATTCTGTTCACAACATTTTGCGACTTATGTGATTAATCCAACAGCTTTATTTTTTTAAAGAATAATGAGTATCCTGAAAACTATTCTGTCCTTAAGAAGGCTACAGTAATAAGAGGGAGATTGTATTCGTCAAACGCTTGTTTAAGGTCGATCAAATCATCTAGCGCCTAGCTCAAAGTCTGTGAAGCAAATCTTCTACGTCTCGTTCCTTTTTCTTATCTCACGCACGATTTCCTCCCTATCAACTGGATTTAAGAGACGAAATCCAGCTGACGCTACTTCAAACATTTTCTACAAGAAGATTTACACTTGTTAGTATACATAGGCCGAATTAATTAAGTGTTCCTATGCTGTTGAAAGGAGCAGCATAGGATTCAAACGCTATTAATTTCAGTAGAAATCCAACATTAATGATCGTCGCTTGATCATATCACACGGCTATAATCCAAATTTTTAATGGTGATATGAATTAATCGTGTGCATCCCAAAATTTAGATAACAGAAAGAATATAGTGGGATGTGAAATGTGTTTGCGCAACACATTTCGAACAATCTGATCACACACGGACTTGTAATAGGAATATATATGAAATTAATAAAGAGGTAAGAGGTGAGAAAATAGACTTAGGTCAAGTTAGAAGGACATATTCAAGGTCGAAGTAACAATGGAGACCACTAAACCAAATAACAGAGGTAATAGTACATCTGCTATGGTATCAAAACAAAATTTACCAAGGAAGGTTTAATGTGATGACGAATCGTTTTTGAACGCATAAAGGTGGCTTAAACTTTCTAATTGCTAGGGCTTCCACAAACTTTAGGATACGTCCCAAACACGTTTTATAGATAGGTTTAAAAGATCTGTTAACGTCAATTTTATGTCCTGTCTCTATAATATGTTTCGCAATAGAAGAGCTAGGTCTCCTGTTCTCACCGTTAATAGGTTCTGACGATTCCATTTGTTTCTGGAGCCATTTAGGAATATGCTCTGAAGCCAGCCCTTACTTGCAGAGATCGATTAGTCCTCCCTATGTATGTGTTGCGCAAATACATTTCACATCCCACTGTATTTACCAATTTGAATGTACGTGTGGACACATATACATAGGGAGGACTCATCGATCTCTGCAAGTAAGGGCTGGCTTCAGAGCATATTCCTAAATGGCTCCAGAAACAAATGGAATCGTCAGAACCTATTAACGGTGAGAACAGGAGACCTAGCTCTTCTATTGCGAAACATATTATAGAGACAGGACATAAAATTGACGTTAACAGATCTTTTAAACCTATCTATAAAACGTGTTTGGGACGTATCCTAAAGTTTGTGGAAGCCCTAGCAATTAGAAAGTTTAACACATACTTTTTAATTTTTGATACCATAGCAGATGTATATTACTCTGTTATTTGGTTTAGTGGTTCATGTTACTTGATTGAATATGTTTATTTTTCTATTTTATTAATTCATATATAGAAAGAATATAATGGATTGCAATCTTTGCATAATCCCTGGACTGCCTGACTTAACCTCTGATGAATACGTTGTTATTTTGTCCCACATAATTAAAATTTTACCAAAAAAATTAGCTATAGTCAACCGTGGTAATAATTATTAAGAAAAATGACGGAGTTTACGTAAAAGTGTGATGTAATTAAGCAATCTGATTGCGTATCTACACTTGTCAAATCATTTTGTGTGAAGGCGAATAGGCGGAAAACCAGTTAACATCAACAAAGCAGAAGAAGAAGCTTCAAAGCAAGAATGATGATTCACATTACTCTTGCTAATATAATTGAGAAAGGATTACAAGGTAGGTTAGGTATAACGGTAAATTATTGGTTGCACAAACTAACATTTAATTAACCAGGCTAGTTATAACGTGATTGTATGGAAACTACTATGTGATAAGGTTGTTACAATTATGGTACACCTCAAATTGGCGACAGATAAAATCTTAAAGGTTGTTGACTATATTTTTATGAAGTCGTAATCAGTATGGATTAATCAGGAGTATTTTTGCGAAAAATTAGATTAATCTCGGTTGTTGATCGTTGTTGTTTTATAGGAAATATTTCTGCGGAATTCTGCATAATATTTGCTGAAGCAACACAACTCTGAAGTTCCTGTGATGTACAGTTTTTCAAAGGTTCATTGTCAACATCGACAACATCGAATTTCACGAAAACAAGGTAGTCTTCAGGTCAGGATAAGTGTTTTGCTCCCCAGCATTTTATACCTTAGCAGCATCAAGTGTGTTGCCCACTTTACTTATTCGAAAAGTCTCACAAATCCTGAGGGTCTGTTTAGTGAGATAATCTAGGCATGAGTAAAAAAAATTGATCTGTCATGTATTGACCTAGGCCTACCAACTAGTTCCCGGATATTTGAGCTGCAGCATTATCCGTTTTCAAAAATAAATATGGCTCATATCTACAACGAGTCTGGCTGTTAATTCGTTCTAATAATAATAATAATAATAATAATTGGTTTATGCGGACATTTCTGCTGTTGCTTCCAATATCAGCGATACTACGACGTTTCTGATTATTTATATTGTCTACTCTCCGACTTTCACTTTCTATTTCGTTTATATTATAAAGTCATTCATTATGTAAGATTACTTTGACCATCCAGTAATTGTAAGAACATAATTATCCCTATAAATCGAACACTAAATCATCTCAGATATGCAATTGTTTACTTTGAAATAAAAATATCATCATGAGTTCTATACTAAGTTAAATATTTTTATTCTTTAGCCTAGATGTATATTTACATGGCTTAGAACACAGTTTACGTAAAGTTGCCTGGCGGCTTTTACTATCAGTTTGTCCAGCGGATACAACAGGTCAAGAACGCTTTCATCTATTGGATGTCAAAGCTCAACAGTATGCATCGCTTAAAGAAAATTGGAAAAAATTGTACGCCTCAGGCTTAATGTCTGAGTATCAATTATCAACTCTGGCTTCAATTAGCATAGATGTTGTTCGTACGGACTGGAGTAAGTGCCTAATCTGCTATCGTTACAAATGCTTCATATGATTCTTATTTTTTAAACTATTTTATCTACTAATCGTAGTCTCTAGAGTGAAGCCAATAAAAGACACCATTTAGTTTAGTTTAGTTTAGTGAAGGCTTCTACGAACTAAGCGCGTAAATTATGTATTTTGTTTAAATTGTCAACTTCCGATGAACATTCATCCTAAATGTCAAGAAACCAGTTACATACAACATTCCTCATAATTAAGTCTATTTCACTTTACTCAAGGGTACGATTTCTCAGTGAATCACTTTAGAACAATAATAATAATTTAACTGGAAGTTTTCATTGGATATAGTTCTCTGTATACACTCTTTGGAAGATTTCGTCATTTGTGAAACTCATTTTCATATCTTATCCTATATCTTATGCTTAAATTGATAAAAAGACTCGTTATCAGTCTATTTTTCTGAGTAAACAGTATCATAAGTCATATATCGATTGCACTATTCAATTTAGCTTGTTTCGGGGCTTTATAATATATCGACTAATTGGTTGGAGGATTTCATCATGAGGTGACATCATTCAGAGAACCATTGAAAAACCTGGGGGTACTGGACAGCTGTTTCGTTCTAGTTCGGGACTCTTCATCAGTACGCACTCACCGAGGTCGCGCTGTGTCATGAATTGGCAGAAGTTAGAGTTCATGGTCCTTTGGATCTGGTCCCAGTGACTTAATAGTCTACGAGCTAGCTCGTCTTGTAACCAGAAGGTCCTGGGTTCGAACCCTGTCGGTGGGTGCGTACTGCTGAAGAGTCCCAAACTAGGCTGACGAGACAGCTGTTCAGTACTCCCAGGTTTTCCAATGGTTCTCTAACTAGTGTCACCTCATGATGAAATCCTCCAATCAATCAAACAAAATCTCTACAAAACCAATACTTGAAAATATCGACTAATTCTCTGTTCTAAGACGACAATCTATCCCAGACAAGTAAAATGTGATATTTAGTACAAGAGCATAATGAGCTGACGAAATGTATTGCCAAGCACTACAATGTGCTTAAAAACTCTTAATTTTGATCTGGAGCTATGCATTCATACACATGATTTTCGAGGTATTCATATTTTCAGTTCGACTAATCCCCGTATGCAGTTCAACTTGCTTGGATTCAAAACAAGCAACAAAGGTTAATAAAGCAGGATTTGATGAATTCATCAAATTTCGGTAGAACTCGTTACTCGTTACTTGGATTCAACTGGTGAAATTCACAGATCATTTTTGATTGCCATCCAACTACTTATATTTTTTCGACAGTAGTGCGCCACTCTGTTTGACCTTTTGTGTGATATTTGTTGGTGAGATTAGCAGACTACTGTTATTCGTGTAATGGATAATAAATGAAAAGAGGATAAAAAGTTTGCTGTCATCATCACATAACAACCTGTTTGTCTAATTCAGTATGATTAGATTGCCAGGAGAAGATCAACTTATTATTATTATTATTATTGTTCCCTTGGGTTCCTAGTGGAACATAGGGCTTCAACTACACGTCTCCACTTGCTTCTGTCTTCTGCTGTACTTTTCACCTGCATCCATGTTAGTCCATACTGTTTCAACTCCTCTTCACACGATCTCCTCCATGTCACCCTTGTACTGACGTCCCACTCGCCGCTTCCCTTTCGGGTTCCACTCGAGCTGGCCTGACGCGCGATGTCACCCAGCGGCCTCCTCAGCGAGTGTCCAATCCATCTCCACTTTCTCCTGCATATTTGTTGGGCGATTGGTTCTTGTTTTGTTTGTTCCCATAGTTTCTTGTTGGTGATTCTTTCCGGCCATCTGATCTTGAGTATAGAACGAAGACAGCTGTTGATAAAGGTCTGCAACAGGCTGTTGTAAATATTCTTTGTGACCCGCCAAGTTTCTGATCCATCCGTATAGAAGAACTAACTTGACGTTTGTATTGGACATCCGAATTTTGTTGTTGATGCAGGCTGAGTGACGGAGATTTCCAGATTGGTTTCAGGTTGATGAATGTGTTTCTCGCCTTCCCGATTCTCGATTTGACATCCTCGTCCGTTCCTCCTGTAGTTGAGACAATGCTCCGTAGATAAGTGAATGAAGTAACCTCTTTCAAATCCCTCCCGTTGATGGTGATTGGCGCTGGATGTCGCTGCTGCTGTTGTTGTTGGTTGGTTATTTTCATAACCTCCGTCTTGTCCGTGTTCACCTGGAGTCCTGTCTTTGCTGCTTCTTCGACCAGTTTGTCGGTTTTTGCTTGTTAGTCTTCGAACATAAATCATCCGCGAAATCCAGGTCTTCTAGGTTCTTTACGTCGGTCCAGGATATCCCTGTCTTCTCGTTTCCCACTGTCTGACGCATAATCCAGTCCACCACAATTAGGAATATCATTGGCGATCAACTTAGGCGATTACTATTGTAATAAACAGACAGTATTTATTCACATATGACAACTGAACATAACGCGTGATGATTGCAATAAAAGGGTGCTGTGATTATCAATTGGGTCTCATAGCTCAGAGGATTAAGTAGTGTGTGGTTAGTAGTCTGAAGGCTGGACATTCGACTCCAGATATTCATTTTTTAAAATCTTCAACTGTCACCAACTCTATCTATAATATTTGTCAAATGCTTTTTTCATTTTTTTCTAACAACCTGACTATTTCTACAAAATTTTCGAGTTATTCTTTTCATTTTTCAAGTGTTAATCCCCTTTATTGCTTATGTAATGTTGTGTGAATAATGCTGTTCTGGTCTGGTGTAAGTAACTAACTATCACTAAAAATATGATAGCCTAAAGGTCTTATCACATGATGAGATACTGCACACCTGATTATCATGATTAGCAATCAGCCCAACGAACATTGTATTTTTATTCCATCATGCATTAAGTGGTTAAAAATAAACGAATTCTTAATGGAGATAAACAATCGGTCATACGAAAAAGGAAATAAGTATCATGTATTTCTTTATATCAACACATAAGTTATCAAAATTTATTGCGAACTAGAATATTAGGCTACATAAAGACACGGTAGAGAAAGAATTAAATATATTACATGAAACCCTACTAGAGAACGGGTATCCACCAAGAAAGAAAAGTCTCTGTCGCCAAAAATCACAACTCTTCCTAAGAAAAATCTCTTCATGAACTTGGAATTCAAAGGTGACATCGAAGCAGAAATTCTTAGAAACCACCTTTCTAAATGTCTGAAGAAAACATTTCGAGCAGCCACCTTACGTATCACATTCTCCAGCAGACAATCAATCCAGTCTAACGTCAAGGACAAGATACCGCTTTTGACCACTTCAATGTGTATTTACCAATTTAACTGCTCGTGTGGAGCAAAGTATATCGGCCGTACGCAACGTCAAGTCCACAAACGTATTCTGGAACATTGTCCAGCTTGGTTAGCCAGAGGAGAAAAGAAGAATAGTAGCAGCTCCATCCTCGAACACCTTGTCATCTCCGGACATCGAGCACCCCCGCATGAATGCTTCACAGTGCTACACACAGTCCCCCAATATCGTACAAAGGGACTTCGCATATGCCATCTGTACATACTTGAATCACTGGCTATCCGAGATCTGAAATCGGACCTCTGCATTCAAAAGCACTACATAAATTCACTCGCCCTACCGTGGCCAGAGTAACGTTCTTACTGTAATTTTGCTTATTTTTATTATGTAAGTTAACTACTATTACTGTTATTATTATCATTATTATTATTCCCATCATCCATATTTTATTATCACTCTATTACTGTTTATTAATAACATTGCATTTTCATACAGATTTTATAAAAAACACTTTGTCGTCTTTCCACTAGTTCTTGTCCATTCTACACAATCATACTGATTAGTCATTTTCTCGAACTTATTACGTCATGCCAACTTCTGCCCGTTTTCTAATTTCCAGTTAGTCATCCCTTTCTAGGTTACACCTTACATTACGTAACACGTTTTCTGAGGACAAATTTTATCAGTATCTGATTGGCCTTATGATTTCTTTGTTAAATATAATTACGATTGTACAGCTTATAAAAATGAATCGTCGAAAAAAAATTTTCTTCGCTGTTTACGTCTTCATCTTATTATACGATTAGTCCTATTGTTTATGAATAAACAAGTATGCTTTATATTCCTGACTGGAATTCTGGTTGAGCATAAAAGTTATCGCTGGGTATTTTCGCTTTGGTGTGTAGAAAACGCTACAACAGCGCTGTTGGAGCTGTATGAAAAAGTTGATGCAACACCTTTGAAACAGCCAAACGTAACACATCTGATGTGATTACAGCATTTCTGTAAACACGTGATACCAAAATCAACTACCCGAGGAAATTCAAGTAGTAATTCACCCCCTGCGTTCCATCTATTCAAGTATATTAGATTGAAATTATGGCAAGTTTGTTTCGGTCGGTTTTCGACATAGAACTTTGGCACATATGTGCAGCAGTTCAAGTCGCCACACTCCATGTAGCACACAAAGGAAGAGAAGAAAGTAGGAGAAATGCATATTAGAGACAGTAAACAGAGGTGTGAGACAAAGGAATAGTAATAACGAAGAACAAAACAGTTTCATTGGAAATCATAAGTCACAAGGAGTGGATGCATCTGCGCCTGCCATTGAGAACGATTTTGAGCCATGTCACCAATTGTTTCCAACCATTGGTTTTTACCGTCCCGAGGACCCTAACCAGTCAGGAAGTCTGCACCTTCCTACGTGGCTTAGACTAACTGTTGTGGATTTCATTGACTGGTGCCATGTTTTCGTTTGACCGCCGCTAGCTCTTTTCCAGCCTGACCCTATATTAGCTAACATTGCCCATTGTCGAGGAAGGCGATGACTAGGAATACGTAACACATGTCCTAACCATTTCAGTCGATGTAATTTCACAGCTTCGTCGATTGATTTCCCCTCCTTACCTAGCACTCGACGCCTAACCTCAATATTGCTCACCTTATTATATCACTTCACATGGGAGATAGAACGCAGACACCTATGATCGAAGACAGCTAATCTTTTCATGTCTTCCGCTCTCAATGGCCAGGTCTCACAGCCATAAAGGAGAACGGAGCGGACTGCTAAGCAGTACATACGCCCTTTGGTCGATAGTCGCCACTACTTTTATACTCACTGAATAACAAGTAGTTTTGTTGTGTTGGGAAACACTAAAGTACGATAGTATCGGTGTAGTAGATGAATATGAATCAGGAATTGATCGCTCTACTGAGACGAAAGCGCGGCAAGCTTTTAATGTGCTATAACTTATATCCTTGCCCGAAATTCTACACACATATGAATGTATGTGTACACCAAACGACCAGATGAATTGAGATGCATATCATAATACTAAGTAAGTCCTTTGAAGAAGTATACGAAGTGTTCATCACAAATAGTTCTTGTTCTGTCTGTAACATATAATATTACTATGGGATGGCTTTTCTTAAGTGAAATAACATTTTATGAGTACAGAATTTCTATGTACATAAAGGTCAAAAAAGAAAGGCTGACTGATTAAAAAGAAAACATTATAGTCTCTAGTGTGCGTCGGTGGCATAGCGGTTAGGATGCTCGCCGACCATGCACATGGTCCGGGGTTCGATTCCCGGCCGACGCACTCCTTTACCTCTCAAAGACAGAAATAATGCTGGTGAAGAGGAAGGGTTGGGCATGAGGCTAGCAACCCCATCCTGTAAAAATAGACACTGCTGCAATAACTTCAAGCCTCTAGCTTGAAGCCCTATGTTCCACTGGGAACGTGAAGGAATAAAAAAATAGTCTGTAGTAGAATTATCCTGATTTCACAGTAGGATGAATCAAATTTGGCGATTTGAATACGTCAGAATTAGATAATCAAAGATACTGATACCACTATCTTGTTGTAGAGGCGATAGTAGATAGAACTTGTGTCCCAGTGGTTGAGATTCATGTGCTCAAACCAGCTGAGCATATCTTCACCTGTGAACTCTTTGCGTATTAATAAATAAGTTTTCCACTAACAACACACATCTTTATACATTTATTTGTTAACTGGAAATGAATCAATACACATAGATGTTATTTTCTTTTTCTTTCCCACGGTAATGTATAACTATATCAAGGTTGTTATATCTACCGTCCTGAATCTTGTTAATCAATTTAAAAAAACAAACAACATTATTGACGAAAAACAACAGTAAATTGTTAGATGCACTTTGAACGATTTAAAAGTTTTTCATTTGTCTGTGAGTGCAAGTGCAAAAAAACAAACAAAATAATTTCCTATGGAAAAAAAAACAAACAACTTCACTGTCAAATATACTCACACATATCTGTATGACATTAGATGAGATTAAAGATTTTTCTGTGTGGTTGACAATTTGTCTTTTAGAACGTAGTACTACACTAATGTATTAATTCATGTTGTCACAGTATGTATGGGTTTTATAGCATGTCGTCAATTATGGTTACTTTTGAATTATTTTGCTGAACTACTATCTTACAAAAGTGACGTTATGAAAAGAAATATCTTTTTGCTGACTTGTGTTCTTAATTACAGACACATGGGAATTTCTCATATCCTCCTAAACTCAACCCATCCAAGTTGTACGTATTCAGCATAGTGTGACTACACTGTATTTATTATTACTGTTATTACTCCCTTGGGCTTCAACAACACATCTCCACTTCGTTCTATTTTCTGTCCACAATTGACCATAATCTTCCATCTCCTCCCCACATGATCTCCTTCATGTCACCCTCGCACTGACGACCCACTTGTCACTTCCCATGGCTTGCATTTGAGCGATGTCATTCGACGGTTTCCTGAATGTATGCCCGATCAATCCATCTCCATTTTCTCCTACATATTTATTGAGCGATTGGCTCTTGATTGGTTTATTGCCAGAGTTTCTTGTTGCTGATTCTTTCTGGCCTACTGACCATCTATCTGATCTTCGGTTTGGAGCCAGCGAAGGGAGTAGCTGTTAATAAAAGTCTGTAACTTGCTGGAAATCCTTTTTGTGACTCGCAGTGCAAGTTCCTTACCCGTTTTGAATAATTGACTGACTGACTTCACATTTGTGTTGAAAATCCGAATTTTGTTCTTTGTGTTGGCTGAGTGCAGAAGATTTTCAAACTGGTTTTAGGTTGATGAAGACCTGATTGGTTGTAAATATTAACCTCATCTTTCTAAAGTTTTACTCCTAATAATAGTCACGCCTCATTCGAAACTGTTTCTAGTTAGCCAGTTGATAAACACTTGTGACATACTCTTAGTTGTCTAGTTAAAGTAGGTTTATGACTTTCTCAACTCAGTCTTTTGATGTTCAGTAATGTCTGTGTTTTGAAGTACATATTCAAAGATTTAAAAAATAGTTATGCTGTCAGGGCATCACTGGGTAGATGCTTTTGTCATTATAGATTTATTAAATATCATTGATTCTTTCTACCTCATCTTTTTCGCTCCTATGATGAAAGTACTTTCTTGACATGATGAATTCTTTGTCATACTGTGACATTAGAACACGGTAGTACTTAGTAGCAGATCGTTTATTTTAACAAAATGATCTGTAGATATGGCAAAATGCTATTGACTTGACGTGTGAACTGCATAACCCTTACATTGAGATTTCCATGCGCACACGCTTTTCGTTTTGTGCCTCTTTGTGTTTTCCTCCTATTCTTCCCATATATATATATTCCAGAAGTATCTCTCGTTTCTCCTCTATTTAACTTAATCCATCTCTCCGCTATTCGATATCCATCGAAGAAGATAGCACGCACAATATACTACTTACAAAATCTTGTCAGTAGCTCACGCCACAATACGACATATGAAGCAATATTTATATTACGGAGATTTAAACACATTTAAACTTAACAAGGGAATAAAGCATATAGTTTCTTACAGGACTTTTATGAGACTGATTCATACTAAACACAAAGTTTTCTACATGCGACCACTTACAACACTGAAAATGAATTCCAAAATAGGTAAATGGGAAAGTTCTGTTTGTATTTACTAGCAACATTCCTACCTAATGAAAAAAACAACAAAACAAACAAACATGTTTTAACACACTGAACAAGTGTCCTTTGTAGTCATTGATGTCCATTTGGTATGTGTATTTTTTTAAATTATACTTCTTGACTTATCACTCATGGGTATTGATTTTTCCTTTCTTTCTATTTTCTAATATCTTACAGAAGAAGACTATTATCGGAATGATGATAATCATCACCGTGTCTGTCAGTTATTTGATATTCTCGCTACTTATTGTATCCATCATCCAAATATCGGATATAGCCAGGGTAGGTCGGTAGTATTTTTTTTTTACTGTTATGTATTGTTGCTTTTGTAATTTCTGCTTTACTGGATTTTATGATTATATGTCACTTCTAAAATCGGAGGGATTTGAAAGAGGTTACTTCATTCACTTATCTAGGGAGCATTGTCTCAACTACAGGAGGGACGGACGAGCATGTCAAATCGAGAATCGGGAAGGCGAGAAACACATTCATCAACCTGAAAGCAATCTTGAAATCTTCGTCACTCAGCATCAACAACAAAATTCGGATTTTCAATACAAACGTCAAGTCAGTCAGTTCTTCTATACGTATGGATCAGAAACTTGGTGGGTCACCAATAATATTTCCAATAAGTTGCAGGCTGACCTTTATCAACAACTGTCTTCGTTCTATACTGAAGATCAGATATCCGGAAAGAATCACCAACAAACAAAACAAGAACCAATCACCTAACAAATATTCAGGAGAAAGTGGAGATGGATTGGACATTCGCTGAGGAGGCTGCTGAGTGACATCGCGCGTCAGGCCCTGGAGTGGAAGCCGAAAGGGAAGCGGTGAGTGGGATATCCAAGGGTGACATGGAGGAGATCGTGTGAAGAGGAGTTGAAACAGTATGGACTAACATGGATGCAAGTGAAAAGTACAGCAGAAGACAGAAGCAAATGGAGACGTGTAGTTGAAGCCCTATGTTCCACTAGGAACTCAAGGGAACAATCATAATAATAATAATAATAGTATAATGATACTTCTGAAGGATACAACTAAGCGTTTTACTTTCAGATATTTACTGGCTTGATTTCATTTATTGTAAGCGGTTAGCATTTATTGCTATCTAGCTACCATTGTAACGAGAGAAGACGAGAGACTTGGTAAAGGAATCTTTATTTAGAATTCGGTATCGCTATAGAGCGAAATTATGTACACCTTTTCTTCAAAGTACCATTTGCACAGATCTTCCGTGTTGTGCTACTTCTGCCGTTCCTTCATATTGTGTTTCTTTGTGTTCCTTTCACGCCGTCTCCCATGTATCTCCACAACGCTGTATCATTTGCTTTCTCTGACATCCAATCTATCTCTCTGCTATTTGATGTTTTTCTGCTGATGAACGTCTCTTTATATACTACTGATAAATCTTATGAGTAGCACACGCCACACTATTATATCTGGTAGTCTCATCGTTATCTGTAACTTTTTGTGTGCTGTCAACAGGACCTATCCCAGCCTCCATGTTTATTTGCCTATTAGATATGCTTCACAAATCAATTTGAAAGTATATTCTACTATAATGGCCAACTTCCACACCTTTATTATTGTTCCAAAGTAATAATAATATCATCACTGTTTCTATTCAAATTTGTTACCAAAATGAGTAAAACAATGTACAAACGAATGAATCTTGCTCTGTCTGTCCAGTCATCATAGGCACTCTTTAGTAATTGCCATACTTCTATTGAGAAAAATTAAGGCAATTGGTATCAATACTTAGCAGACATAATAATTCAGATCTGTAACTTTCAGGCATTACCGTTTCTCTTACGGTGTGATAGATAGTTTAGTTATATGCCCTTTATGAAAAGCTTTCAAAAGTAAACAATAAAGCACAACTACAGTTTCACACCTATACGGTACTTTTCACTTAAAGTCTAATGTTGTTGTCATTAGGATTTGGATTTTAGATTAAGTGGATCAATCAGTCTTATATGAATGCAGATGCAGCTCAACGACTTAAGCACTAGACTTACACAGCCAATGATTCACGGACTCGAACCGCAATCCACCTAATTAAGATTAGGCAACTGGGTAGTATCATCAGCGTTCATACTGTAAGTATTGTGCATAGCCTGGTATAATAAATATCAGTTCCGGGAATTTGTTTAGGTGTTCTTGCTGAGAGAGAGAGAAAGACAGACAGAACTCGGTTTTTGATTTAATACATATTGCCGAAAATACCCATTGAGTCATGAAGAAAATAAAAGACAATTCAACGAAGAGAATTTTCTTTGTCGACGAAATCATCTTCTGAGATTCTGAAAAACCGCTTATCCAGATCACTGAGAAAAGGCTTCTTTTCGACTGAGCTACGAATCAATTTCTACTGCCGACAAATGATCAATGAATGTGTGAAAGATAAACTGCCTCTTTGGGCCACTTCAATGTGTGTTTATAAATTCACCTGCCCCTGCGGAGCTAGTTACATTAGCCGCAGAAAGCGCACACTCTCCAGACGCATCTCTGAACATTATCCGGCATGGGTAGCAAAAGGACAATGTAAGACAATTACTGGCTCTATGTTTGAGCATCTGGTGAACTGAAGTCACACAGCTTCATTAGAGTCGTCTTTCAAAATTATCTACCAGGTGAGACTGAATGATATTAGGGGATGTCAGGTCTCGGCATTTGTGTATGGCGGAGGCTTTGGCTTTTCATCAATACAGCCCCGAACTCTGTATACCGAAAACGTTTGTCCAGTCTCTTATTCTGCCATAGTCTTAACTTCTTCATTAGTCGTTCCCTGTAAATTTTTTATTTTTAGTGACTAGTTGGCTTTTACTTTAATAATTTATGCATTATTACCTCACATGTTTCTTTTGTACATTTTCCCACCCTCTTCACACTCAAGCACCTTTTTTTCTCACTCAATAACAATTTTAACCTTATCAAATTTCTAACGCTTTTTTCCTTTGTACCGTTGAGTACTACGTAATGTATAACTTTTATTTTTACTGCCGAAGTCTCTACAGTGTAGATAAATCAATTATTTAACCCCGATTACTCAATTATGGACTACTATACATGTTTGGTTAATGTAAATACGACTGCGTACAACTTCTAAAGATGATTTCGTTGATAAAGACAATTTTCTTCGCTGAATTGTCTTTTACTTTCTTAATGCATATATTCTCAAGAAAGCAGTATAATTTCCTTTGTGATTAATGCAGATAATTGCCTCCTAGTGTAACAACAGAAGACAAGGGCCAGGCAACAGATCGTTTATTAATGAAATCAACACATATTTATAGATTGTTATACATTGTTATAGATAATTGTTAGCTGACAAACACAGTTTTCTGATTGGTTGTTTCTCACTAAAAGTTAATCTTTCATCTCTTTGTTGCTGTCTCTTGAGTGTCAGATCATCTATCTGCTAATTGTATCCGCCTACGCAAAGTCTGCTGTCCATCTTTGACCTTGTTTTCACATGACTAATATTTGAGACATAAACATTGACGTCAATTACTGTCTACCAATGTGGCTAGCAGTCATCTCTCACCACACTAGGAGCTATAGTTTGTATGATTATTATCATTGTGATTTTATCTTCAGTTATGAATTCATCCATCATTTCATTATCACAAGTTTCATTCTTTTTATTTTTTTAATATCTACTTTAGGTATGTCTGATTTGGCCAGTCCCTTGCTAGTTGTTCAAGGCGATGAAGCATTAGCCTATTTATGTTTCTGTGCTTTAATGCAACGTGTCAAATCGAAATTTAGTGATACATATCAATCTGTGTTAATTAATGATATGCAAGATTTACACGATCTACTCACATATACAGATAGTGAATTAGCACAATTTTTTCGTGAACATAATTTAGCCAATATGTATTTCACTCAACGTTGGTTCATATTAGAATTGAAACGTGAATTCAATTTCAGTGAATCTTTGCGTATTTTTGAATCTCAATGGGCAGCTTCATGTCTTGTAAATAATAATATTAATAATAATTTAGCTGAAAATGAAACTTACAATTCAAAGTCTGAAGGTTATCTTGTTCTAACTGATGGCACTTCTAATCTGTACACAAATTCAAATTCTGCATCAGCTAGCAATTGGCAGCATTATACAGCTCGAGATGTTAGCCTGATTAATTCGTTAATAGGTTCAAATTATGTTGTAAATTTGAAAAAATCATCTACAGTTGTAGCTAATTCAAATATTAGTCAATTGGAAATTCAATCACCGCCTGCCTCTTCGCCTACTTCGCCGTCATCTTCATCTGATGTAAGCTTCTGTTATGAATTGTCCAACAGTATACCGCCTAAAACATTGATGCCTGCTAATAATTCCTCTTCTGAAGCATTATTCAGTGAAACTAAATTTGAAATAATCCCCGATGAATCAGTATCAGATTTTTCAGATTCACTGAGTCGACAGTCTTCACATAATAATAATCATCATCATCATCGGACATCAACGGGTAAATTGCCTTCATTCTCTGGTGAAAGTGAACCTATACAAATCAAGACCAGTGTGACACAATTACCACCGTTGAATCAATTCGGTCAGGGTAATCCATTTCTTGTATTCCTTTGCTTATCTTTAATATTAGAATATAAAGAGGTAATCATGTCAGAGATTAAGGAGCCCGGAGATATTATACACTTTTATCAACAATATTCTGGTAAACACAATTCTTCGCGTATACTCTATCGAGCGAAGAAGTTATTCAATAAATATTTAGAACAGAATAATTTTCTATTGACTGGTTAAGAATTTAAAGCAAATCACAAAAAAATCTGTACAGTTAGTTTTACTGAGATTGATATTAAATAGAGTGTGATAAATTCCCCTTTTGTATTTTGTTTTACAGATGATAGTGTTTTTTTCTTTCTTTCTTTGATTTGTTTTGTGTGTGTTTTTATACATATATTGAATGACCACCATCAGTAATGTATTACTTAAATATCATCTTCATGATATCATGACTTCGTATGTAATCATCACTATTATCCCTTGAGAAACAGATTTTTCAAAGAAGCCTAACACCTATTTTATACACTGTGATATTTAATTTTGTTTTCTCAGATTCCTCTAAATTGTATTTTTGTTGTATTTTTTTGAATTTATCTTGTGTTTGAAGTAATTGTGTTTTTTGTTTTGTTTTGTTTTGGTTTCTTTACCAAAGTTTAAAGCTGTATACGCTTGCATGTATGTCTGTTTGTAAAATACTAGATAGATAAGACGTTTATATTATGATGAAATCAACAATTTACAGTGCTACACTCTGTATATGAACAGCGTATCGATGTTAATTCTTCGATAAGCGAAGTAGGTTTGTAAAGAAGAGAAGACTGATTAGGCTTGAAGTCAAGATTTATTAGGACAAATGCATTGTAGGTACATAAATTTGGTATATTTTAAGTTTTTATTTGCATATCATTCCCAAATTGGTCGAATATCACCACATTCGATAGCTTGTTGGATTCTGCACAGTGTTTGTAACGTTCTTCGCACAGTTTTCTTCTTCAATTGCTTTTTCCAGTGCCCCGAAACATAGTGTTACTTTTCTGGATTCGTTTACTGATATACTACTTATATCTGATTATAAGTAGCACTCACCACAGCAGATCATACAATACTCATTACATCGTGCCCAAATATATCGTGAAGATGCTTATGTTCTTCAACAGATCGTGTATCAATTTAAATGAGTTAATAATTCGTATACACTTTATCTTCAGAAATTTTCGTCGTCTAGACTTTTGAAAAGTATCCTGTAAAGCCATTTAGTGATCTGTAAGGATTTGATTTGTTTTCCGAGTTAGACCACGGATTGATATGAGTTAGAGAACCATTGAAAACCATCACTGGAGTAGTGGACATCTTTTTCATCCTAGTTTGGGACTCATTGGTAGTACGCACCCACTGGGTATCGAACCGCAGGACCTTCTCGTTACAAGGCAAGCTCGTAGACCATTCAGCCACTGGGACCCGACTCAATGGCTCATGAATTCTAATTATAAAAACAGCGGAGTTACTGCCAGGTGGCAGGGATTTACACTAATCTTAACAAAATATTTACTAGTATTATCAGTGAGTGATATAAACAACAGACAGTAAGTTTTCAATGATTTATTTACTGAATCAGTTTAATTATCTACAGGCGTATTTTTTGAATATCCTAATGCTGTAAAGTGATAAGTATCCATCTTAAAAAATAGTGTAATGTAATTTATGACATCTTCGAGCCACTTACAACTTGATACTCTACATTGGATGCGGGTGTTTTATTCGAGAAGGTAAATTTAAAATATTAATCTAAGGAGGCTACTTTGTTAAGCAACACTTGAATCCTTGAATAGCTCAGAACAAAATTACTCAAGTGTACTCCAAAGTAGTGCTATAAAGAGAATTTATAGTTGAAGATAGAATCTTGTTGACTATTAATACCTATAACTAACTGTTATCCATTTTGTGACTTTAGCACTAACTAATATCTATAATTGTACATAGTAATGGATTTACATGCTGAAGTGGGCCCTAGTCAGTGAGTCTCTGGTTTACGTGTTATTTTCGGTAATTGTATTTCACAGTGGTATTTTTGCTACGGTTTTTGTTGTTGTCGCTGCCTTTCCTGTTGTGACTTTTGTTATTGTTGTTCTGATTGCTTTATTTCTTATTTTCCTGATTCTAAAGGGAGCAACCCAAAAATTCGCTCCTCTGTAACTTACATCTCTATTTAACAACTTCCTCCTTGGGTGTGAGGCTAGCAACCCCACCCTGTAAACAAAACTGCTACAGAAACTTCAGTACGATGAGTCTACTCAAGATCAGATGGCCAGAAAAGATCAGGGATCTCTGGGAGCGAACCAACCAGGAACCAATTGTACGACAAATATGCAGGAGGAAATAAAGGTGGATTGGCCATACTCTGAGAAAACCATCAAGTGACTTCACACGCTTGCGACGAAAGAAAAAGAATGTATGGGAGCATGGAACGTCGCACTATGTATGAGACTGGCGAATCCGCCCAGAATGCAAATGAGATCAAGAGATGTGATATTAAAGTACTGGGAATACATGAAAACATATGGAATGGGAGTGGGCTCACCAAATTTTCAACGGGGTGAGTAATAATTACGTGCATCTTTCGAGCTTTTCTGTGGAAAATGACCTGTTTAGTTATTTTGTGTAGTCGCAGCAAAGAGCTAGCAGTAAGAAAGACCAGCGTTAGATTGGAAATAGAAAATCAGTCCATAAAGGAGCAGAATGATCAAATGATCGGGAAATAATGATACAACAATCAGTCGAAGAGATAAAGATAGTCAGTTAAAATAAGTATAATATTTACGGAATGCGGAAGTAAAGATGCCTTAAGAAATGGCTGTTGCATTATGCATCGCGAATTGAAAGAAGTTATAATTCATAAGACTATTGGATTGCGTCCCAGTAGCTGAATTGTCAACGACCTTGCCTCGTAAACTGAATGTCCTGGGTACGAAACGCAGCAAGGTCATGGAACCCTAGTGATAAAGAGTTCCAAACTAGGACGAAGCATCTGTCAAGTACTCGCTGGTTTTCAGTGGTTCTGTTACTGAGGTCAGTTCGTTGTCTAAACTGAAATCAATCAAATCCCTGCAAAAAGACACCTGAAAATCTAGGTATGTCAGACGGTCTCATTAAAAAAATATTTTAAACCTAGAGGTTGACAGAGAGGTGTAACACTTTTTGCGCATCGTTTTACATTCAACAAACTTTGTTGGGCTAACGAGAAATCTATTAAGTTAATTAGTGATCTGGTGTTTGTCTACCAGTGGAGAATGTTCAAGGAAAAAATAACATGGATTCACAAGTACTCTACTTAACTTGTCTATCAAGTCTCTGGGTCAATGAATTCTGTTAATCTAAGTTTAAGACAAAAAAGTGGAAAAACTTCCAACACTATTATTCGTCTACATGTGGATGATGAGTTTGTGTTCCTTTAATCTTTGAATTAGCATATATTAGAGTGAATATATATGTAACGACAGAAAACAAGGGCCAGGCAACAGATCGTTTATTGAGGAAATCAAGAAATATTTATGTATTTTTATGGACATTATTATTAGCAGAGAAACAGCGTCTTCTTATTGGTTGTTTTCTCTCTGAAAGTTATTCTTTCATCTCTCTGTGGTCGTTTCTTTGAAGGTCAGACCATATATCTGCGAATCGTATCCGCCCACACAAAGTCTGCTGTTATTGGTTGTTGAGTTAGTCTTTTTTTTCTTATGACCGAGATTTGGGAGGTAAACGTTGATGTAAATTGCTGTCTACCAATTTTGGCTAGCAGACAGCTCTCACCACATATACGTTATGAAATTCGTCACTTAGTCGAATTTTATCATAGTGAATAGTAATAAAACACTTAAAACGAGCAATACATATTAGCATCTACAATGGTAACAAGTGCCCTATTTCAAACAATATTTTTGATACAATTCATCATAAAAATGCATAATACTCCATAACAGAAGGAATTATTTGCTACTGAATCCTGTCATTTGTTACTCATATGGCTACTGTTGTTTTCAGGGAAAATCCGACCGTCAACACGGTGTTGATAGACTTTTCAAAAGTATGCACCCTTCTATCAAGGCTAATCTAAACACCATTATGAGTCTCAGCTTCTCTTGCTATATGGGTGTGTTAATAAGTAATCACCGTTTGTGTGCGTATGAATGTTCAAGTATGAATATTCACACAAATACAGACTCAGCAAAAGAAAAAAACCGTTCTACAATCAATTAATTGATTTTTTTGGAGGGGGGGCTAAGTAATAGTAGAGATTACTAACACGATGACATTAGAGCATGTATTCAACAGAGTAAACGACAAAACATTATAATTACAGTGATAATAATGACATTCAAAATAGTATTATCAAGAATACAACATAAGTAGCTGATGTTTGTCAGTTCTGAAACCTGAATAGTTGTCAAATAGATAGTATTTTATACCTAATATTGAGTTTTGGTTGATAGGTAATCGAAATGGTGTGTTAGCAGAGCATATAACATTATTCTTCTGCATTCATAACTGTCTATTGTATTGTCATTTTATTTAATCTCCTTTTATATGTCATGTTTTGAAGCATGCTAACTTGAACTTGTATTTTTGTGAAAAGTTCTCTTGTTGATTGATTTATTTGCCTGACAGTTTGTCATATTCTTAGTTTGTATGACTGTTGTCATTGTGTAATTACTCACTATGGTTTAGTATATCACTTTGTTCTTACTATGTTGTGTTCTTCGCATAAACACTTCGTCTGAGCAATGGCATATATTTTCTGTTAAATTTTTTCAGAAGTTTAATAATTAGTAGAACACGGAGTGACAACTGTCGCATACCCTGTCACACTGGCGAAAGCAACTCACCTGAGAGTGATTTATCACTTCATACAAAAATCCATTGAGGAGTATTTTATCCTCTGCAAATTTTTGTACGTTTAAAGTTATTTATAGATAATAATAGTAATGATAATAATAATAATAGGCTGACAGTAAACGACACGTTGCTAAGTCATTCAAAAGATATGAGATTATGAGTGAACCAGTATTTAGATACATTATTCTAATGTATTTGAAACATACCGTTCACTTTAAGTCTAATAATAATAATGATCATAACCAACACTAAAGAACTACCAAACTGAGAAAAAAATAAAATGTAACTTCAGGTGTGGTGAGAGCTGGCTGCTAGCCAAAGTTGGTAGACAGTAATTGACGTCAATGTTTATGTCCCAATATTGGTGGTGAGAAAATGAGAACAAAGGCTTTGCGTAGGCGGATACAGTTAGCATATGGATGATCTGACACAGCCACAAAGAGATGCAAGGTTAACTTTCTGTGAGAAACAACCAATCAAAAGACTGTATTTTCTACTAACAATAATCTATAATAATGTACATTGAAATCTATAAATATGTGTTGATTTTCCTTAATAAACGATCTGTTGCCTGACTTTTGCCTTCTGTCGTTACACAAGAGTTCATTTTTGACGGTCCTCGTAGCACATACTTCCTTTTGGATAATTGATTAGGCGGCGTGTTTAAATATTGAGCTATTTAAACTCCCATCTACATATTCAAGTGGCTTTATTGCATATCCCCGCTAATTGTAGGCCTCGTAGTCCATTGCTATGGTGGTTTCATGACAAGTTATGTTCTCTTTACATCTTTTTCAAATAAAATTTCTCAGTAAATAAAGTGTTTTTCTGACATATATATTATCGGTGGCATTATATTTTTATGAACCTCGTAACACTTGCTGTACTTT